AATACAGTAAGAAATCTGTGTGTATGTGCGTAAGCACAAGAAGAAATAGCAGAACAAAAAAGAATATCTTGTATTGGTAACAGAGGACATGGCCCCCAGACAATCAAACAGAGAAATGTGTTGTTCCCTCAAGTGCTGAAGACACAGTGCAGATGAGAATAGCAGAAAGATTGCAGGATCTCACACATGCTGTTCCTTTTTCCATCAGTCCATATTTCCACCTCATTCAGATTGACCCACCCCTAGTGCCAGTATTTAGGAGGAGTAAACCCAGCTCTGACACAGGGAAGGATTACACAATTTATTAATTTTTGCTATAAGTATTTACCAAGGATGTAGTGATTTTAGCTTATTTTGCAGTGAAAATAAATAACCAGATTAAATGAAGATTTTTTTTTTTTTTAATTCACTCTGTGCTGATAAAGGTGGGAGATGAAGTAGCAATCTCCAGCAGCTGCAGTAGCAATAATCAGACTTCACTTACAGACACCTGAAAGTCTCAGCTGAAAGTGAAATCCCACTTTGATTACACATAAGCCTTCTGACATCTGGCTTGTTTTTCTCAGTAACCTCTCAGGGAATCCTGAAAGGTGTTTCACATACCCAAGAGTCCACTGACTGAGATCTATCAGGTAAGGGAATTGAAATTCTCTCCTTTTATTTGAAGTATAAACGTAGGAAACTCTCCATACAGTTTGGTTTCATATACAGAAGTGAATTTAATTCAATAGAAAATGCTCAGCCTGACTAATACACCAAAACGTGACTGAGAATGGGATTACAATCAGCTTCATATTTAGAAATTAAATTTAATTTGGAGATTTTCAAATTATTTCCACTTTATCACTGAAAGTATAATCAAGACTATTAGTGATGTTTCTTCATAAAGGAATAAGATATAATATGCAGAGAGTATAATTAATATCAAAAGAGAAAGTATCTAAATAGTGATTATTTACTGAATACCATACATTTAATTTCCACATTGTTGGATGACTATGGTACTCTTACAAGAAAGAGTATTCCAAAGCAATGCTCAAACATTCTTAGCATCCAAACAAATGCTGAAGAATAAATTCAAATTATGAACATACTTCTATCATTAATAAAAGGGTCTGCAGTGTGTTCAGTGTGTTAATCCCAAGACTTCTCAACCATTGCTCATACGTTTCCTTAGGTTTAGAGCATCAGGTAGCCCAAGACCAGCTTTTTTTCAGCTATAAAGATCTGTTGAGGCTTAGAAAATAATTAGTTAATAATGCAATTTCAGAAATATGTAATTTAGTCTCATACACAGATTTTTAACATAGTGAAAAAGGAGTTTAGTTGACCACTTAACACTTGCAATACAAGTAACTCATACACTTAACAAATGCAAAGAGGCTTCTGGGCTGAGGTGTCTGTGTGCTTTTACCTGTCATTTTTTCATTTTTATTTACAAAATTATTCTTTAATTTATAAGCACTCATTTAAATAGACAAGCAATGCAGCCTAAGGACAAATAAGGTCATGAATGCTACAACAGAGATGGAATAGCTCCTCCTATATTGTTCACTCATTTAGTTGACAAAGCTTAAAAAAAAAAAAAAAAAAAAAAGAGTTTTTCTAGAGGAAAAATGAACGTGTACTGGGATGAACTTAACTCTGGGGACACGTATTACAACACAGACATTTCTTTGTCATATTGCAAAGGAGAATACACTGGGCATGGAACACATTTCTCTGACTGTCCCACTTTTGCACACTCAGCCCCGAACCCCTCTAAAACTCTTTCACACACAAAAGCACTGGGCAAATCTTATTTCTCTTGTATTTAAGGGTGACACCAGCTCCCTCCTGCCTTGCCCTCAGTCACAGCTTTCCATCGTGAGGTGAACTGCACCTGCCCAAAATGGCTGTAACACCCTCGTGCCTCCTGACATGTGCCTTAAAGGTGCTGTGTGCTCTGTCAGTGCAGGGCGACCATTTCGGTACACAGCCCAGCTCTTCCCTCTGGGCTGGAGCCTTGGCTTACCCAGCAAAAGTTCTGTAAGGGCTGAGGCAGCAGCAAGGCTGTGGCACCTGTGTGCAAAGGTGTTCCACGACTGAACTGCGCTCCTCAATGTGGGAAAACACAAAGCTGAGCTCCTGGTGGAAAAATCATAATAAAAATGAGGAGCCTGGCTTGTGTTTTACTTGCTAACCTATGCTACGAGAGCATATCTCTTCTGGAGAAAGGAGACAAAAAATTCCTTTTTCTTCATGAGTTGTAGATAGCTTCATTGAAAATCCTTAAATTCATATTTTTTTATTTACTTTCAAGGAGACTGCAGCAGAATCAGCTGGAGTGGGGATCGTTCCACCAGTATTCCCGTTGGCTTACAAGTGGTCTGCCCTGGTAAGAGTATAGAGCTTTTAAAAGCCTTGTGGTAAGAGCACAACAGCCCTGTATGTGATGAGTCTTCAAGGAAAATTCCACATTCATCCCCAGTGCCCTTCCTCCTGATAAATGCCACTTGGCTGTACCCTGATGCTGATCCTATGACATTCCTACTTAGGACAACTTGCAGTAAAATTACGCTCAAAATGATTCAAAGTGGAAAATACTTGATGAGTAACATGCTTAATTTGTTTTTTTAAGCATGAGAAAGTGACATAGACGTGTGTCTGTCTGGTTTTCCATTAGAAATTTGGGCCTTTTCTCCACTTTTTTAAACAATGTCACTGGGAAAGCTTTTGGCCTCAATTCTGCATACAGATGAACACATGAGTAATTTTCTTTGCATAAGGAATCATGATCCCACTGAGGAGTCAGTAAGACTGTGTACTTGTAAGATTGGAAACTGCTCACAAACATTCCAAGCAGAAAACCCGAGACAGACTGAAAGAGGAATGATTTTCATCCAGGTGTTATACACTGTTGTTTTAAATACTCTTAGTTTGGAATTGCATCAGATAAATATAATTTACATGGTTTATGTTATCACTTCTGTTCAAGTTGTTTAAAGCATACACAAAGAATTGTTATTGGCATATTGGAAGCATATGAGTGTCACATATGGGTGTGCAGTGATCTGGCATTATTGCATGCATAAAGAGTCTGGAATAAAGAACATGATTCTTAAGGTAGCAGACATAACCAAGCTGGGAGGGATAGCATGCATTTCGGAGGACAAGTTTATGAGTAAAGTTATAATGACAAATTGCTTGAGCAGCCTGAAAAATATAGGATGACATTCCATGGGGACATGTATAAAGCACTATATTTAAATACTTCAATAGTTCAAACCTTAAAGTGAATGATATTTTTATAACAGAAGGGGATTCAGAACTTTTTTTTTTTTTTTTTTTTTTTTTAGTAGATCAGAAACAGTATGAGTCAGTAATGTCATACTGTGAAGAAAGCAAACCTCATACTGGGATATGTAAACAGGAGTCTGGTATACAAGACACATGAAGTAACACTTCCACTCAGCACTCATAGGGACTCAACCAAAGTACTGTATCCAGGTTTTGGCACAACGCTTCAAGTAAATGGAGAGGGGCCAAAGGAAAGCAACTTGAATAATCAGAAGTCCAGTAAAGACAACCCAGGGAACGATGGGAAGAGGGGGAGTTGTTTAGTCTACAAAAAACAAGGCTGAAGACAATTTTCAAATACTGCTGCTGTCAGGTAGAGGTTATAAACTGCTGGTCATCATGCATAACAACATAGTGGTTTAAAATTTATTAGGGCTAAAGTTTTATTACTGTTTACCTATATGGATAGCAAAGTTTTGAGTAGATAGAGACATCATGGTTTTTGTTGACTATCTGGAGGCTCTTGGAAGTTAGACAAACAGCTGTCAAAGATGGCTGAACTGCAGCTTGGAGAAAATAGGCCAGACAAGGTGTGATGCTTGCTGTTGTACTTGTTTTTTATGCCAGGACAATATTTCTTTATAAATATTACATATCTTATTAATCTGTGAAAACCCAACCAACCAACTTAATGGGCCTTAGCCACGCAAGTAGATTCAGCTAGTTCTATTAAGACTTGCTAAATTTCCTAGACCTGTTAAAATGGGTCACAGATCACAGCTTTAATGTATGCAAAGGCAATCTCCCAAGGACTTGCTTATTTCATAGAATCATAGAATTATAGAATCACAAGGTTGGAAACGACCTATAAGGTCATCTAATCCAACTGTCTCCTCATCATCACTGCCACAACTAGCACTAAACCATATCGTGCAGATTTGTAATCATCCTTTCCTAGTTCTGAAGGTGGCTGGTTCAGAGCTGCCCTTTGCTGGAGGTTAACGGTCAATGGAGGGCTGCAGGATGAAGGGTGGGCACCCCCTCAGCACAAAGAGCCTGGGCTAACATGGTCGGTGATGGCATACTGGTGGAGCTTCTGTCTGCAGTGTTTCGAGCTGCAAAGGGAGAGCAAAGCTTTGAGTTAGCTTTAGTGCAGTGCTTTTCACATAACTTTCTTGGAAGTCTGTTGCTCCTTACAAATAAAAAAGGAAGCTAGCAATAATTTTTCAAGGCTGTGCCTGAAACTGGGCAGAATTAAGGCTGTGAGAAAGGAGCACAGTGCTATTAACTCAGAGCTCTGTGACACCTGATGCACCGCCGGACCGAGATCTCTCGGCCCGGGCACCGGCAGCTCTGACCGCCAGCAGACCCGCGGCACAACACGCCACGTCCCTCAGCACGGGGACAGCTCAGCGCCGGGGGAGCAGCCGGGAGCCGGAGCCAACCCCAGCCCCACGCAGCCCCACGCAGCCTCCCCTCGCCGGTTCCGTCCCGCCGCCCCCGACCCCGCACCAATCCCGCAGCCGGGGCCGCGAGGGCCCCCATCCCCGCCCTCCGAGGCAGCCTTGGCTCCGCCCCGCGCCCTCTGACCCGTGCTCCTTAGTTACCGCGCGGGGCGTCACTCTGGGCCCAACCACTGCCGTACTGAGCGCGGCGCCGGGCTGTGCCACTGGTCCTCCTGCTGGGGGGTGTGTGTGTGTGTGAAAGTGAAGGCATCGTGGCTGCCCCCTGCGTGTGCACGCAGCGGCTGCCGGTCTCTTATCCACTCCCCCTTCCCTCCGGTCTCTCGTTGGTTTCGTCCGGTGCGGCCCATAGCGACGGCGGCCGCGCTGGGGGAAGATGGCGGCTCCGGTCTGGGCGCCGCGGCCGGCTCCGTGATCGTCCCGCGCTCCTTCTTCTTCCCGTGGCGAGCATGTCTGACTCGGAGGAGGAGGAGAGTCCGGACCGCCAGCTCAAGCTCGTGGTGCTGGGGGACGGCACCGCAGGGAAGGTCAGTGCCACGCCCGCCTCCCCGCCTTCCTCTCCCCCGGCTACCCTCCGGTCGCCCCCTGCTCAGGCCGCTCTCCGGGCGCAGCTCAGCGTCCGCTCCGCGCTCGGCGGCGGCGAAACGCGCCGTGAGGTTTCGGTACCGTCGGCTCTCCTGGCGAGGCTCGCCAACGAGCGGGCGTGCGCGGCTGTAATCTTCTTCTCTTGAGCTTTAATAAACACAGCGGCTCAGAGCTGCTTTCCCATTTGCCGGGGAACTGCGCGTTGAGAGCGCTCGGTTCGGCCCGGAGCTCTGTGCCGAGCTCCATTCTAAGCTCCGTGCCTACGGGGCACCCGCAGCGCTTTGCATCACTCTGAGACGCAGCTCCAGGGCTCTTTCCGAGCCGCCTGCAGATTTCGTTTTTGTTTTTTTTTTTTTTTTTTTTTTTTCCCCTTTCTGTAGCCGTCATAAGCTTTGTTTAGGAGCAGTCTGTGAATGAAAGCTGCATGCCAGTGTTTATGCGACAACGTGATCAGTTGTGATTGCAACTATTGTAATAGGGAGACTGAGGCCTCTTGTGAGATGCGCCCATAAATACTTGTTTTATTGTGTATTTGAAGAACACAGGTTTACCTCTGCTGTTGATTTTTGATAAGGAAGGGAGGTGGGGAGTTTGCCTTGTGCAGTTTAGATGGAAAGCAGGATTACTCGAGGTGGTTTAAATGAGCAGCACATCCTTAACAGAAATAAGCTCTTCACGAGAGCATGATTGTCTCACTTAAGCAGAGCTTTATGAAGCAATAACAGCTTTTTTTTTTTTTGTTGTTGTTTTTCCTTTAGTCATTTGAAATGCAGTTTGAAGTAGTGTTGTGTTTGTATGATGCAGTAGGTGGAATGTGTGATGAGAGAATAATAAATGCATGGGAGTGATGGCTGGAGTGCTGTTTCATGAGTGGCTTTCCCCAGGAGTTTTCCATTCAAATGGAAGAATCCTTTCACTGCTCCCACTCAGCATACTGTGTGTGACATGACCTCTTGCCAAACAGGGATTTTCCGGCATTCTTGAGTTTTGATGCTGATTTGCGCTGGTTCCTACCCTTCAGTTTGGAGCTGCCACTCACAGAATCTCTGCTGGCTCCAGGAATCCTGCACATCAAGTGCAACTTATTTTCCATGAGCAGCAGCTGTGTTGTGGTGGGCTGCTTTTCCTCCCATTCCCCCTAGATGATGCTGTAATAGAGGCTTCTTCTAGTCATCTTTATGGCCTAGCAGCAAACATGCAATAATGGATTCATTGTAAGATCTTGTAAAATAAAGAAGTGATTGGGTTTTGAAGTGGAAGGATAAAACATGCCTAGTAGTATTTCAGGCACCTTGGAAGACTAAATTGTTGAGGTTCCTTTCCTTTGTTGGCTACTCATTTGGCTGAAATATTGAAACATGCATATTTCTATATGTTTTCGACTAGCCTGCTTCTCACATCTGTTTTACAGCTGGTCTTTGCACATATACATACCTAGCCTCTCATTTGCTATGCAAGACATTGCTTTTTCTCTTCTATCATTGGGATCATTGGAGAAGAGAGGTGTAGGAAATAATGGAATACATCTTTGAGATATCACATATTGTGTGTTTAGTGTGAGATTTTTCAGATTTGACTTCTTTCCGTTGCTTGCTTCCCCTCTGCCTCTTTTAAAAAATATTTTATTTCTTCCCTTTTGGCCATCTGGGGCTGTCTGAGCTTCAGTTCTCCAGGGAAAAAAATAGAAAGACGTCTTTGTGCATCAGCAAGCTGAAGGTGAAAAACTTTTCTTCTTCACATCAATTAGAAGCAGTATGGTTAAAGTTCTGCAGAACTGTTGGTGGCAGTTTTAAAACAAATCAGAATCAGTCCTGAGCTAAGGGTAATATTTATGTTTGCTCTAGCTAGGAATTTCTCCCTCCACAAGGTGAGGGAGGGATGTTGTTATTTGTTAATTTCGTGGTGGCTTGATGAATTATAGAATGCTTAAAGTTTTAAAACAAGGAGTAAGCACTGCTGGAGCAAGTTTGAAGGAGGCAAGGTTGTAAAGAGAGGAAGAAATGAAAGAAGTGTGAGACGGTAAAACTTGAAAAAGCATTAGAATAAAATGAAGATAACAAGAAAATGTTGAGTTGTCAAAAGGAAAAACAGAGGAAGGTAATGATTGGTTAGTGAGATATTAATAAGAGAACACTTTTTGGTGTGTGTATGAAACAGACAAACTAGGAAAGCAAAAGAAATCTGTAATCAGAAGCAGTGATAGTGCCAAAGAATCCAAGAATTATCAATAGCAATTAGTTCCTTGCTTCTGATGGTGGGAAGGATCATAGATTCCTAACGCTGTGTATAGAAGTCCTTAGTTCACTCTCTCCAAGCCAAAATGATTTTTCCATTAAAATAAACCAGTTCAAGTATGGATTGGAGGAGAAAAAGAAGACATTATCACACACGTGTTCCTACTTTCGCTATGCACAGGTTGGCTTTTATTGGAATAGGTAACAGTTCTGGTTACTACTGCTGAAAAAAGTTTTGGGCCTCTGGAATGAAATCTGGGAGCTATTCATGGACAGAGAGGTCCTGAAACCAGGGCTGTGGGAGGAGGGGAGAGGCTGAGGTTCCATCTGTTTACCATCCTTTGGAAATGGAGGCTGAAACACCTTATGTCTTCCATTAGTGGATGGTGAAAATGAAGGAGATAACACTCAACCTGTTGTAGGTATTCACATGTAGTGAAACGTAGGCTGGGATATGGAATGATGTCCCTAATCGCTTTTGGATTTGTTAGGATACCTTCTTGAAGTGTTGTGCTAATTCTGGATCTTGTCATCTTTTCATGCTCAAAATATTGGTAAATGTTGACTAAAAATTTTCACTGTACCATTTTGAAAATGGAAGACTTCATCAAGTGTCCTTTGTGGATGGAGCTGTCTTCATAGATAAATGCCTGACCTTAGAAGTCCTGGTAGTCTCTATGTCAGTGAACAAAGGTTCATCAGTGGTTAGCAGTGACTTTACCTTCAGATGACAGGACTGCTTCCTTTGCTTGTAAAAGGCTTCTTGTGCCCCAACCCACAAAGCTAGGTCGATCTCAGTCAGAAATTCTGTGTGGGACAATTACTTGCTTTTGTATTAGTTTAAACATTTTTCTATTTAGACTAAGATTTTCATTTTGCCTATCTTAAGATTCTTGCCAGCTGGGATGGTACATGAATATTGCTGTGCTTGGAGATCAACAGCTTGGTCTTTGAGAAGGGAGGATGGAAAGGGATGGATAAATGTTGCTTTTTGGTTCTCAACTGGTTGGTGAAGTTGTTATGTGAATGGAGATTTGTGGCTCCAGCACTACGTGCTTGCATCCCATTCAATTTTGGCTTTGGTTTTAATTACTTACGACAATGATACAATCCTTTGGTTTCACTTTCTGAAAGCATTCCTCTATGGGATTTCATTCAAAGGATTGCCTTTGTCGGGCTGATAGTAAGTGTCAGAACTGCCTATCACTACTTGTTGTCTTCTACTGCTCTGCTGCTATTTTGTTACTACTTCTCTTTTCTATTCCTATTTCTGTGTCGGTGGGTGTTTAGGAATGGCATGTCAGCACAGTTCCTAGAGTCTGTTGATGACATTGAAAAATATAAACAAGAAATTCTCATCTCACCTGTACCTTCCTTGTATATTCATTTCCCAAACTCCTCAAATATCCTGTTGTATTTAACCCTCAGAATGGTGTAATTTTTCGTGTGTATATATTTACTGTTGTCTTGGTTACTGCATGTCAGAACTCAAAGAAGTTTAGTTGTCGATGGGGGGATGGTGGTTATAAGACCAGGATTCAATGCTGCATTGCTATTCAGAACAGCATATGAAGGTTTTTTTGTTTTTTTTTTTTTGTTTTTTTTTTTTTTTAATATTTCAGACAAATGTGTGAACATACCAAACTGGGCTAAAGTCACGTTGGCTTGGAGAGGTGATGTCTTGCTTGGCTTAGTAGTGATGTGGCGGACCAAGGCCTTCTTGGTATCATGTTATCTTCTGATCTCTGGATTAATGGCTGAGAGTTCCTGTATTGAACCTAATCTTATTTAAAAAGTTTTCTCACAATTTCATTTGTTTTTAAAGCTACAGTTCTGCTGAACCATTCTTTGTTTTACATAGATAATAACAATCACATCTTTTCAGGCAAAACTGTTATGTAGTCTTTCATGAGAAGCATGCTAAAGAACAGTTTTAGGATGATGGGATTATTTGCATTGCATTACATATTAATTGTACCTGAATGTGCAGTGAGATGATTTGCTGTTTACTGTTGTGAAGGAGTTGGAGCTGTTGCCTGCAGTGTTTTGTGGATAAATAGTTGTTCTGTGAATAGAGAGCTCCAGTCTGGTAAGCCAGCACTAACATTTATTAGAAAAAAAATTAAAAATGAGTTACTCAATGAATTTCTGCTGAATTTCTGTTACTCAATAAACTCCTTTGCATTCAAGGGCACAGTGGAAGAAAACCGTTTGAGAGAGCTTTGCTGTGCTGCTGATAACTTGCTGCTCTTATTGGTTGACTGTTAATTGAATGTATGTTGTTTATTTTTACTAAGACCCTTAGAAGTTCACAGGGGATATTGAGTGTCACAGAGTGATAAAGCTAATATTTACTGAGCCCTTAAAACAAGAAGGGAGTGGCTGCTTATTAAATGGGGATCCAAATTAGCATCTTGGAGAAAATGGAACACTGATACAGCCAGATGATATTTTAACCTGCATTCTGGATACTGATATTCTTTTATGGGAAGGAAGAATGTGCACTGGATATAGTGTATTTTTTGTGGTGGATCTTATTTTTCTGTGGTGTTCTTATTCTTATATTTAAGATCCTGACAGATAAGAATAATGTATTTAGCATTGCTAATTGTTGACATTAAAAAAAATCTAAAAAATAAACTACTGATTTTATTGAATATTACAGAATAAATTTGTCTTGAATTTTTTTTTTTTTTCTTTTTTGTCTGTAATGTCACATAGCTGTAGGCAGAACAATCTTCTCATGATTCATCCTCTGTGGTCATCTTCCTTTCCAGAGTGATATAAATATACAACCATAGCCATACAAGTTCATGTTTACTTCTCCCCACTCCCATTTACTTATTTTTAATTCTCTTTAGGCTTGAGTTCAATGAAGTAAATAAAATGCTGACATAATCTTTAATTTATTTTTTTTTTTTTAATTACTTCCACTTATTGTATGTGGACAGTGCTAGGAATGTCAATGTGATTGAAAACAGCGAATCTTCTGTTACTTACTTCTCAGGTAATTGTGTAGCTGAATACATATTTGCCTGTTAATACTTGAGCTTTAATGCCCTAGCTCTTCTGGTCATGTTTTCATGCCAAAAAGAGTCAGCTATCTTTTCTCCCTGTGTGTGTTTGACACATTAATAGCATAATTCTGATCTTTGTTACAAGAGGTCCATTAACAGAACTCGCCTATTCTCGCTTTTTTAGAACTGTTGGTGCTATTTTACTATTGCATTCTTAGCTAAATGTACTCTAACGGCAATCTCTAACAGCAGCTGATGTGACTCCCATCTTCAGGTCTTGATGGACTGAAATCTGGCAGGAGTTCCTTTTTGACCATCTGGAGTTTTTTGTTTGTTTGTTTGTTTGTTTTGTTTTGTTTTTTTCAGGTAGCATAAGGATTTTGTGAAGCTCTCAAGCTTCTCTGTATGTGCAAATACATAAAATATCTTCTATTTTTCTGCAGTTGCTTTGTTTCTTATATTTTGAATGTCATGTCAACAAGAAATTTCAAAGTATGTGTCTTTAACTGGATGTTGGTTATGTTACCTACCTGATGTTCATATTTAATGTATTTTTCCATGTATGAACTTTTCATTTTCTCTGTAATTGCGTTTTCTATTTTCTTAACTCTGGATTGTGTTGCTTTTATTTTTTTACACGGAGATCTTAAATTGCCAGTGGAAGAATGGAAATGCTGTGCTTTGTTAATTCATGAAATTGTGTATCCTTTTAGCAGTATGTAGTAAAAACAGATTCTTTACTGTGCCTTCAGGGCACTGGTCTACTTTTGTAAATCCACATAATATAAATTGAAGGCATAAGTTTCCAAAGTTCTGTCTAGAGGAATGATTCTGCAAATGTGCATTTTAAACATGGGTTTAGTCTTCTCTTTGTTGAAGTGTTTGCAGTTTCTTCTGTCTTAGCCATCAGTAGTAGCTGATCCTGAGTCCTCAGTGTGCAGTGGCAGGTATCCTGCCCTGCTTTGGAGCCCCTGTGGGGCTCTCCATTGTGCAGATATCTCCTTTTTCCACAGCCTCCCCTCCAGAAAATAACTGGTCAGGGTTTGGGGTGTTCTGCATCAGAATGGACCCTTGTTTGGGAAATGGCCATTTATCAAAAGCCAGCTGTTCAAGTATAGGTAGTGAAGTAGTGTCACTTAGATTTGTGTCAAGTTGAGTGTACTGATGGCACCTCATTCGAATCTGTGTAATATTTTATGATATGGAAATTGCAGTGTATTTAAATGCCAAGGAAATATGTGTCTGCTGATTTCTGTATAATTTAGTGGCTACTGCTGCCTCCTCTTGTTGTGTTGAATCTATCTATGTAACAATACAAATCCTTGAACACTGTCAGCATGCATTGATTTAGCAAGTGCTTAAATGTATTTCATACTTCTTGGTTTAACTTCAAACTTTATACTGTTTGAAATTTATCGAATAATTTGATATTGTTCTGTTTTAGACATCCTTAGCCATGCGTTTTGCCCAAGAAACATTTGGAAAACAATACAAACAAACCATAGGACTGGATTTCTACTTGAAAAGGATTACACTGCCAGGTAAGAGAATGAAGATTCTGTCACTGAAAGATTGGGACACAGTAAAACCTGTAGAAACAGTCTTCTAAGTAATGTATACTGAATAAGCTCAGTGCAGTGCTTTTTGTTGTAAAATAATAATAAAGAAAGGTTACTAAGTAAATTTTCTCAAAATATATTCTTGCCAGATGGCAAAGCGTTCAGTATTTGCAACATATCTTACAGATTTAAAGTTAAACGCTGCTTGCAAGTAGGAGGAATGCTATACTACCTGTACTCATGATTTTTCCTATCTCTACTAGAGCATACTCTCAAGCATAGAACAATGAAGTAGAAATTTAAGTATAGTCATTGGAAAAAGTATCTGTGTTTTGAAAGAAATAGTTTTAGTTTTTTTAAATGAAATGCACAGCGTATTTGGGTTGTGTGTGAGAAGCATAATGCAGCTATGGAATCGCGGTGCTCTAATATGTGAATGCTGTTTTATGCAAGGCAGCATGAAATTGCTGGCATTTAATAGACCACTAAAATTTAGGGTCCCTCGGCACTCATAAAAATACAGTTTGAGCATTCAAGATGTTTCACTTCACGACGGCAAAGAAACTATTTAGATGCCAATTGCAGCACGCAGCATGGAAAATGCAAAGAAATAATTCAAAAAGAATAGTTACTGCTAGAAGCTTGTTTCTGAACAATTGGGGTTTAAAATAAGCCTTTTCATTGACTGGTGGTTGCTCAGTTTCCAAGCCTGAAAGTTTTTCACTAAAAGCAATTTCTTCTGATTTCAGAAATCAAAGTTAGAAAAACATTAAATGATGAAAGTTGTAGTAGGAGTTGATAAATTTGATGCAAGTTCTGTGTTTTTTCCTTGAGAGGTGGAGGGAGAAGCCAACTCAGGAAGTTAATATTCTACCTGTAACTTAAAGTTGTAAGAAAATACAAGATTCCTGAACTTAGTTTCTTAAAAGTTACATCTTCAATAATGTATCTTGATTATGTTTATATATTTCTCTAAAGTGAAACAGAATGATCTTTTCAGACATTCTTATGATCACTGATTTGCTTTGGTGATTTCGCTGCTTATAGTGATACATGCAAATGGAATATGTCCACAAATCATGCTGTTTGCATGCTGAGAACTTGTATTTTGCAAGTTTTTTTTTTTTCTTCTTCCAGTTGTTAAGCATGCAGAAGCTATTAGTACACTATTGGGATTCTAAATGTTCTTTTTTAAGCAGAAAAACGTAGAAAATTATCATCTATTGACCCATTCATATTTTATTTCTAGTTTATTTTTTAATAAAATAAGAAAGTAGGTAAAAATAGCACCAAAACAACAGCAGAGTCTTTGCATCTATTTCACTTGTTTATTGTTAACAAAATACTACAGACATAGAATGTATTCATGCTTGGAAAAGGCATTTTTTCAATAGGTTGTCTTTCAGTTTTTGCCTATGCCTATATATGTATTTAGGGAGATGTAAATCTGTATGTTTTTTAAGAGCTAAGGTGGGCTGGTGGGGGGAGTGAAAGAGAGTGGGGGGTAAAATTCTAAATACCAGTGTGGAAAGCATTACTTAAGTAAATGGATTTTTCTGATTTCTTGATTAGTTCTGGGTTTGCAGAGCCGTTCTATTTACATGAAACATTAATTCATGTTGCTGCACAAGAATTATAATGTGTGTATCAGTAGGAAAAAGAGCCGTGATTTCTCGGTGGGAGAGCTGGCAGTTGACTATTTTTACAGCATTTGAAATTTGCTCTTCTCCTTTAAGCAACGTTTCAGAAGTTGAAATTGATGATTACTGCAATTTCACAGAAGTTTATATCGTGGTGTATTCAAAATTCATTTTAACTTCTTTAATAAAATATTGATATTATTATTTTTAATGAGAACTATTTTTTTTACTATTTCTTTTAGTAACTAATGCAATCTTAAAATATAGGCAAATATTTAACTTGCTAAAACAGCATGGCTTGATGCAAATACTAATCTCTTGACTATTTATTTGTTTGCCGTTTATTTCATTGGTGACTTAAATTAATCTTTGATTAGTTGTGAACAATGTCTTCTATTATTCATCTGCTGAAAAAGTTGTGCAGTTTGAATTTTTTTTATTTTTTTCAAATGCAAATCAATTTCAGCGTATTTTGTGATGCAGTGTGTTGTACCGTCTGCATTCAGCTGCTGTGTAGGTTTTACTGCTTAAGTAGCTTTTATGTCAGTCAGGGGTTTTGCTGATAGAAATTTTGAAGTGCCACAGTCAAATACCTTTTAGGAAGGTTGTGGGTGCAGTCTGGTAAACAAGATTCTTCTGTGAAAAGGATTTTTTAAGTCTTCAGTGCAAGAAGTGGGCAGACTCGTGTTTTTAGTTCCATCCTGACTGCGCAGCACTTTAAGTAAGGTTAACCAGTGCACCAAGTGTACCTCTGCAGGGTCAGTGTGCAATCAGCCCAGTGGCTTCAGTTCATACCAGAAATGGCCTGGATACTTGCACTGTGCTGCTTTAGCTATTTTAGTTTTGTACTTGCTTGCTTTTTCTACAAACTTAAGAAGTGCTAGCATTTTCCTGTTCTGGGATTCTTCAGTTACTTTTATTGTATGTTAACTTTGTTTCTAAGAACTGTCTTGTTTTATACACAGGTTTTTCTTGTTTTGTTTCCATTCTTCAATGTGTTCCTATTTAGTATATTAAAAGACAAAACAACAAACAGATTTCAAACTTCTCTGCAGAAAACTCTTCTGTTGCTCTCATAGTCACTTATGGGTTATTTGCTAGACAAATGGTCTGGCATTCTTTCTTCTATTAGAATAAGCTTAACACTTTTTTTTTCTTTTTTTCTTCCCCTAGAATCAGTCTGAACATAAAACAAATATTACAGGACCTATATATATATATTAACATATATATATGGTAATATATGTAATATATAGATTATACATAATAATATGTTATATAATAATATATATACATATATAATATTATTATTATATAACATATATGTATATAAAATACATAATATATATATATTATCTTTTTTTAAGAGGAAAATAAAACATTGCATTGGGATTGATCAACATGAATTTCAGTGAGGCCTTAATTGAGAACCATTCCAACTTGAACATTCCAACTTTTTTTTCTTTTTAACTCTTCAGTTTCTTTCTTCTGCTGTTGGTAAAGAGAATTTAACAATTCACAATGAGTTTTTTTAAGGTGAGGAGTAGAATGCATACAACCAATACAATACTTCAGCATGGTGGACTTTGGAGAATGTTTGTTGGTTTACCTACTGAGACTGAACAGTCATTTCAGACTGCATGTTCACCAGTTCATCCCATCCAGGTGATGGAAGACTTACCTGTATTGCTTGGAGTAAGTTCTGTTATATTATTTAAAAAGAATCAATTAATAAATGGTGGATGCACAGTCAAAACAGATGAGCTTCTTGTTTTATGAAAGGTTGCCTTTACTCAACTGAAGTTTTTTAATGTAATTACCAAGCTCCATTTGGAGTTTCTGTGTCTTACTGTAGATAGAACTGTATGTACCTTAGAAGTAGTCTGAATAGATAGTTTCATGTGCATCTTTGTATATTTGACCATAGTAGAAGTTTAGAAATTTGTGCTTTTAACCAGATTAAAGCAAAATGCATTATAAAAGTGTAATGTGAAGTACTTATTAGCACAAGTAGCATATATTCAGCTATGTAGTTCTAATTTATTGTTTGTAGTCGTGGAATACTGGGATATATTTTCATGGAGCATACTTGCACAACCAATGTGTAAGGCAGTTTGGTTTAAATTGAAGGCTGAACAGCTCACGTGTGAAATAAGGTTGTTATTAACTTGAAGTAGCTGAACTCCAAGTATGTGTTAGCAGCCCAAAATACTGTATTTTTCACTCAACTCGAATGTTGTGATGGAGAATTTGTCACAATGTGTGTACTTCTTGGAATAAAGCTCATAGGTGGTTATGATTGTGAGCATGTAGCATTATTATTAATGTGTAATTATGTGGAGATGGAAAACTTTTTAGTTATAAGGGCTTACTTATTACTTTAGTGCTGCTTAGAACTGCTTAGTACAGTTCTTACTGCAAAACAAGCCAAATTTTATGATAATAACTGTAAGCACGTTGTAACACAGGCTGCTGTGTGCACATGCATAGACTGTGGATTTGAGTTTTTGGCCTTCAGAATATGTATGACTTGCAGGGAATTAAATATTCTGCTTTTTTTTTTTTATTTTTTTATTTTTTGTAACCATGTTTTGAAAGCCTGTTAACACTTTCAACAGTCTTCAGAACTGATATTAAAACTGTTTAGAGTAGAAAGGCAGATCTGTTCTTGGTACAGATTCTTGGAAGATGAAATTATGTAAATCATATTTAACTTGGTTGTCTGCTTTGGGGTGGTGGATAGAGGAAATTTAGTTGGCGTTGGCAGTGTAGACTGGTATCTGCATCTCTGAGTTAATGTCAACCACATAATTCTTTACAGTAATACGAAGAGCATCACTACCAAAATACATTTACTCTGCATGTTTTCCTTTGTGAATTTTCCTTACAAATGTGGAGGTGGAAGGCAAAGGGGGCACAGAACATGAAACAATATGGTTAGGTTGACATTGTTACCTTCCACTTCCAAGTGCTGCACTGTAGAACTTTCCCTGTGAAGTTTTATGCATTCCTTGAGTAAAGTATGTTGTATAACTTCTAGTCAGGAATGATATACTTTGTGTACAATGTTGTGAAATAACTATGTTGGAACGTGAATATTTAACTATGGTTTTATGACATTGTAGTGAGTTACCTGGACACAAGTGACTTTTTTTTTTCCCCACAAATGATGGCTGTCTTTGTCTTTAAATTTGTGTTATGCTTGTAAAAAGCTATTGCTGTTGATATGCTAAAAGATATTACCTGCCATAATAGTATAAATTAATTGTATCTAAGCTTTCTAGGTTACGTAGTAATCCGTATAATTTTCGTTTCCAGGAAATTTGAATGTTACTCTTCAAGTGTGGGATGTAGGAGGACAAACGATAGGAGGCAAGATGCTGGATAAATATATTTATGGAGCTCAGGTACAGTATTGATTGTGATAATTGATTCTATAGTAATTATATAAAATTAATTGAAACTGTGTTTGCAATTATAAATATTTTGCAGTGTGTTACTTTGTAGATCTTGAATCTCTGCTGAATCTAAAAATAACTGATATTAAAATGCTATTGTAGGTGATTTTTTTTTTTTTTAAAGCTGATTTAAAAAGCAAAGGAAGAGTGTGCATTTGTAGATCTGAATAGCTCAAGAACAGATGTATGTTTCTAAGCTTTTTGTCTTACGAAAAGCAATCATAGTAAATTGTAAAGGCGATTTGGATATCCACATGGTTGATACAGGGACTGCTTTTAGAGCAGATGCCTCCTGGGGAGAAGAAGTAGAAGGAGGAAATTAAGAGCAATCCTACACCATTAAACTCATACATACAACTGAGGTTATAAGAGGGCAAACAAAAGGAGACAACCAGGTAGCTAAGTGTTTTCACAGAACTCCAATCCATGAATATTTGTTTTATTTTTATTTTATTTTTAAATCAAGTAAGCAATATAAAGTGAGTGGTGGGTTTAGGTAAAAGCTATATATTATAATGATATCTTGAGTTATGAGCTGATTTAAGAGGAAGTGCTGTATGCCAGAATTTCTAACATGATTAATCCAAAAACATACTCTCTTCTTAAACTTGGAATTGGTAATGAAAACAATAGGCATCACATGTTTTAATATTACATTTATCAGAAAACAAATTTATCTTTTTTTTTAAATCTACAATAATTTGAAGCAGAAAGAATATGGAATTCTGAAACTTGGATAGAAGTTTTGTACTGATAATGATAACGCAGGAATGATTAAGGAGAGTAGATATTGTTAAATTCATAAGTTTGCCTTTATCTAATCATTTTGTCACTTTCAAAAAAGATCTAAATGTTTTCAGCTGTTGCATCTGTTTTATAGATGTTTTTTTTTTCTTATTTCTTCAATAAAAAAAATTTGCTGCTTGTGAAAGATACACCAAGCAGCAGACTTCCATGACAGGCAGAATTTGATTAATCACAAATTGATGCCATATGCCCCAAGTAAACTCAGTAAAAGAAATAAAAGGCAATTAACCTTTTTCCTGTATTGAATTTGGTGATAAACCTTAGGAGTTCCTTATGAATGATGGTACATCATAAAGTTAATAATGTCAGTGCCCCAAAGTAGGTGAAAAGTTATCAGTAAGTTTAAAGGCACAGTAATTTGTTTTTATAATGATTCATTAACAACGACAAAGAAATCTACATTCAATCTCTTCTTCTTTTGTTCCTTCCCAACTCTTCATTGTAAACCTATTTTTTTTTTCCAGTATCAACTTCTTTATTAGATTTCTTATCACTGGAGCTGATTTTCAACACGCTTTTCTATTAAGTTTGTAACATCATTTTTTGAAGGTAGATAAAGCTATCTTTATTTTCATATGTGTGCAGAACACCAAGAATAATTCTGAAAAGCACCAAGCTTGCTTTCAGGCAAAAGCCTATTTAATGTTGAGCATCTGTATCTTTGTAAAAGGAGAAAGGGAAAAGATGAAGCAGAGTAAGTAGGAGTAATTTGAAGGAAAAATATTATGTAAATAGACAGCAAAGCAGCAAGAAATTAACTGGGAGGAGCTAGCATGGAATTAGCAAGATTAAATTAGGCCCAACGAGCTTAATTGCCTTTTGTGGCACTCTGCAAAAAGGGTAGCAGTAGATGTTGTTTAGTTTGATTTCAGCAAGATTTAAAGTAATTTCTCCTAGTATTAATACACAGAAAAAAGCCCACCAACAACAGAGATGTAGGTTGAATGGACAGACCAAAAGGTGACTTGTGAAACATACAGACAGCTGGAAGTGTTCCGTAGCTTGATACCTTTCTGTTATCTGCTTATAAATTGATTTCCTTAGAGGTTGATACTATTTCATGTATTTTACTAATCAATGGAATGAAACGTTGTAAGTTTCTCAAACTGGGGAGCAGTTTTGCTGACCCCCCTCAAACTGGGGGTCGATTTGCTGAATGTGAGAGCTGATCTTGAGAGAGACCATGACAGATAGCAGGAGTGGGCCTGCAAAAATGTGGTTCAGAGAAGGCAGAGTCCTCCACCCAGGACAGAATAATGTTGTGCAGCAGTAAAGGTTGGGAATCAACAGGAGAGTGACCAGCGAAGAGCCACTGGGCTGTTTAAGGGATTGGAGCATCTCACATATGAGGGAAGGTTGAGAGAGCTGAGGCTATTCAGTCTGGACAAGAAAAGGCTTGCCAATGTATATAAATATCTGAAGTGAGTGGGCTAAGAAGGCATAGCCAGACTCCTTTTATTGGTGCCCAGTGATAGGCAATAGTCACAAACTGAAGCACAGTACTGTCTGAACATCAAGGAACACTATTTTTACTGGGATTAACCACGATTTGGCACAGGCTGCTCAAAAGAGACTGGAGTCTCCCTCTGTGGAGATGCTCAGAAGTCATCTGGACACAGTTCTGCACAGGTGATGTTGTATTGGACTAGATGAGATCCAGATGTCCCCTCCATCCTCAGTCATTCTGTGAAAAATCTTTGGAAGTGGAGTTCTTGGAGGGGGGGTGGGTGTTGAGGGGAGGGAAGAGGTCAGAGGAAGCAAGTCAAACAAAGTGATTATCCTGTTCTTTGACATTTTTGTGGCTGCGTTGGAGCACTCTGTTCAGTTTTTGATTCCCCAGTACAAGAAAACTTTTTAAATATTGGAGAAATTCTGGCAGACTTCTATAAAAGAAGCATGTGTACCTTTGATGTGTTATACCTGGATGGCTTTTGTGGTGCGACTGGGATTTTCAACATCTTGTTTTTGAAATGCAAAGAGAGTACATAAACATAAAGGAGACAGATTGGATGTACTCTAGAAAATGTGTAGAAATTGTCTAGAAATTGCATGTATTTTGCAAGTGTGAATCATTCCAACTTGAAGTATGTGTGTAGAATAGCATGTGACATGCCTCCAGTGTGCATCATGCTTTAGTACAGTAGTTGCAGATGGCTGTAGCATGATTAATGTTGTTGCTCATCTGGATGATGAGACTCAGAAATCACAAATGGCTGAATTTTTTGGCTTTTTTGCTCAGAAATTCAACTTTGTGGTAGACCTGCCTAAAAAATAATAGACTAGCTGTAGGTGGAATTTTTGAGAATATACCCCAGCTGAAATCATTCACTTCACTTCAGTTGAAACATGATCAGGACACCAGGGGGAGTATGCAGAAGTTACTGGAAGTTTTCTGATTAGAACCAAATCAATTTTACAGGATAGCTTGTATAGTTAAGCCATGGTTCCATTTTTGATGGATGTCCCTCATCTTCTTGTCATCTTTTAAAGTAAGAATGCCAGATTTGATGATGAGCATCTGCTTAATCTTCTTGCGTGGACGAAGCTGGCAAAATTGCAGTTTACTTGCTGTCTTACCACACTTGCTTTTTCCATTTTTTTTTCTTTTTTTTTTTTTTTTTTTCTCCCTATGGATCTAAAACAATGCAGTTTCTGCATCCTTTTGTGGTAGCTGAATTTCGCTGTTGAATCAGAAGACTTCTACAAGCTGGAGAGAAGACTTTGATCTTTATAAATGAAAGTTCCTAAGAAACAATTTTTTTGTCAGCAACAATTAAAGCATGTTTATCTCAAAATTGAGAGAGGCCAAGAGAAGTCAGATTGTTAGTTACCACAGCTGAGCTGGTAAACAGTGGTATTTCATTATATTGTTGCAACTCAGTCATACATATGTAAGTAACCATATTCTCAATATCATTGAAGACAACAGTGGTTAGTTATGAGTACATTGTGAACCTTTTTTGTCCTGTAAAAATAGTATTTCTGCAGATTTGCAAGGTATTGCTACTCTGCTAAAATTAAGCTTTACTTTAAGGGAGCATACTAAAAATTTGCTTTAATGTTTCATAAGTATTTAATAAAAAGAAAAAAAGAAAAAAATCTTACTGAAATCTATTGTAGAAGGAGGGTGGCTGAAGAGAATCCTGAAGAACAAAGCAATTTTTGTAGTTATTGTTTTCTGTTGCTTTCTTTTATTTTGACAAATTCTAAAATGAACTTGATGTCTTTTAAGTGTTGATTGTCTGGTATGAGTTTATTGACTGGTTGAATATTGTTACAATACTTCCATAATTGCAGTTCTGTTCTATAACAGTACTGTTGTTGTATGCATGGTAAATATTTCAGAAATGATCCCATCTCTAAGCTATAATTGCTGTCCCTGTCCACATATCCAGTTTAAAGTATCCTTAAGAGCTGGCGTGCACTACCTCATAAATTGGTTTGTTAACAGAAGAAAGAGTACTTCAGACTCTATCTTATCTAGAGATCAGGAAATCATTTCTGCAATATTCTCAGTTTCCAGTGGCTTATTTTTTAAATATATCCTATAATTCTGAAACAGAAAGTACTCATATGTATTGTACATATGAGCTGTTGTCCAAGTGTGGACAATGTATTTTTCATATGTTCATATGTATTATTTTTCAGTAATCTTATGTATTGTCCATTGAGCACACTGTGCAAGTGTGGAGTGCCAGTCCGAAAAAGACAGGGAGCTGTTGGAGAGGGTCCAGAGAGGGCCACAAAGATGATCAGGGGACTGGAGCACCTCACCTATGAAGACAGGCTGAAGGAGCTGGGCTTGTTCAGCCTGGAGAAGAGAAGGCTGCGGGGTGACCTCATTGCAGCCTTTCAGTACCTAAAGGGAGCCTATAAACAGGAGGGGAATCAACTCTTTGAAAGGGTTGATAACAGCAGGAGAAATGGTTTTAAGTTGAGGGAGGGGAGATTTAGGCTGGATGCCAGGGGGAAATTCTTTACAGAGAGAGTGGTGAGGTGCTGGAACAGGCTGCCCTGAGAGGCTGTGGATGCCCCGTCCCTGGAGGTGTTCAAGGCCAGATTGGATGGGGCCCTGGGCAGCCTGGTTTAGTATTGAATGGGGAGGTTGGTGGCCCTGCCTGTGGCAGGGGGGTTGGAGCTTCATGATCCTTGAGGTCCCTTCCAACCCTGGCCATTCTGTGATTTTGTACTCAAATAAGCAAAATGGCTCTATTATTAAACTGCAATTGTGCAAGCAGGGTCTACTTGTGCCATCCCTTCAGATGAGAGAATTTAACATACTGTTCATGTGGAGAACAATATGCCCTGTTTTGAACCTTTTTCATGGCAGGGAATGTGCTACTTATTTGAGTTATAAAAAAAAAAAAAAAAGCCAGTGTTAATTTTCCACTTCAATTCCTCATGCATAATAGGGAAATAACAGGTTTTACAGTATATAGAGTACAGAATGAGCAGATAGCTTGTGGAAAATGTATTTCTTTTGTGAAAGCAATGATGGAGTTTCTATCTTCAGCTAAAAGGAAAAATGAGAGATTTTTAGCTGTGGTGTTATGCCTGGTCCTTATTCACAACATATTAAGCTGCTTTGAGAGTGCTTTTGTGGCATAAATCTAGGCAGGAAGTATTCTTTATGACTTGGATGGTGTGCTGCGTTTTTCCCTGTGTCTGAGATGTTGTATTTGCCAAGTATAACAAGTATTGACAAGGTTCAAAAAGAGAATGGTTGAGAAACAAAAATGCTTTCATGGCAGTGCTTTATTTCAGAGAAGGGGGCAAAATAAAGGGAAATCAGGTGAGCTCTAGTTCCAAACTTCATTCAATTATGTCTTTCATGGTAAGTCCACCATGAATGCTCTTTTTTCTGAACATATAGGGCAAGAGCACCTGTAGCAGTGTAGCATTTTGTGAAGAATTGGTAGAAACAGAGGTGGTCAACATTAAATGCTTAATTCTTCAGTGCTGAAGATGCTGCAGTCTTGACTGCTGTTGCAAGAAGTGTGCTGTGTTCACTTGCTCGTTTGCACAGAAAGGAAACGGGGACTGAAGGAATCTCAGTGGGATCTGTTGCCCTCCTCTGAAGCCATACCTGCATGAAGGAAGCTTTTCCTTTAACTAGTCAGAAGCTCTCATTCAAACTTAGAGCCATTGTTTCACATTCCTGCCATGTGCTACTATGAAGAACCTATCTATTACCTCAGTAGCCTCCTCATGGATGTGGGAAGGCTGCACAGACTTTTCTTCTTCATGCTGAACAAGTCTGGTTCCTTCAGCTTTTCATTTACAGGACAAGTGCTCCAGCCTCTGATTGTCCTGGTGGACCACTGCTGTGATATATTAATTAATGTCTTATGGGGCCTAAAACTGGATGTGATCTGAGTAATACTGGTTATGGTCTGATCTCTTGTTCGTGTGGCTATGCTCCTGTTAATGCAGCTTGGAATCCTGCTCGCCATCCTTTCTGCCAGGGATCATTGCCGACTTTGATTTGGCTTGCTGTTTACCAAGACCTGAAGGTCATTTTCAGTTCGGCTCCCCAGTCAGTTCCCAGCTTGTATTATCTGTTACTCCCCAGCTGTGGGACTTCGCTCCTTGCTGAATGTTGAAAGATTCTTGTTTGCCCATTCCTTGAACTTGCCTACATGTGGAACGCTAGCCAGGCCCTTAAGCATATCAGCTTAATCCTCCCAGTTTAAGTGTCATCTGCAAACTGTGTATGAAAGCACATAAAAAGAACTCGTTATCTTCTCTTGAAACTTTTACCCTCGTTGTCCTGCTTTTTATCCATCTATGTAAAGTTTGTTAAAGCATTCTACGTTCTTAAAAATTTTCTGATGTAAGGATTTCTAAACTTTGGGTGCTGTTAAATTTATCTTCTAGCCTACCCTTTTTTTGATGTTGTGCCCAAGCTGGATGTGGTACTTCACCTGGAATGTTTCATGCCAATATGATAATTGCTTTTGTGGCTACAAAATCAGATTCAACCACGATCTACTGTAACTCCTTGATCATTTTCTATAGAACCTGTTAGAAAGCCAGGTGTTTCCTATCCTTGTGCTGTTGATTATTGTTTCCTTTGAACTTGTCATGGTACTTATTGAACTGCATCCTATTATTTTTGGGTTGTTTCTCATCTTGTAATCTAAACTTTACTCAAATACTACTGCAGTCTTTGCTAGTTTGTTATAGTCTTTGAAATTAATGCTTGCACTGTATTTTGTCATCTTGTGTAGTACTAATGAAACAGTTAAGCAAAGCCTGAGCCCAGACAAACCTCAGGAAAGCTGTGCTTGGAAAATCTTTTCTGTTGACAGTGAGCCGTTGAACCAACTAGTTTTGTGTGGATTTTTTTTCTTTTTAAGAATATTAATGAACATTGAATGTGAGGGACAGTGTGCAGTTGCAGGGATTTTTTCCAGATGTAAACTCTACAAGCACAATAAATCCAATTCTAACATTATTCTTTATGAACAAGACACTCAACAATGCTTATTTTGAGTATTTATTACTTGCAGCCTAGTCCGCAGCCTCTGAAATACTTGAGACACTCTCCCCTTCTTGACTTTTGACTACATTTTTAGTATTTCTTTGAAAGGCAAAAAGATTGACAGTACAGCAGTTAAGGGAGGCAGCTGGCCTTTCTTCCCAAAAGAGGGCAGAGATGCAGTAAGTTGGGCAGTATGTAGGAATATGTAATTGAGCATGTTTGTTGGTTTTTTTCAAGGAGGGAAGAGTTAAGCTACAGTTAAGATTTGCAGAAATAAGTCACTGTCCAGTGTGATTTTTTTTTTACCTTGTTATATGATTCTATGATCTGTAAGAAAAACCTTTTTTTCATGATATATATGCATTTTGGCATATGGTTTAACTCATTGTGCACCTTCCTGAATTGCCATTTTATTCAGCTTTTGTAGATCAGCAAGTATCTGAATTTAGAGCATTTGTAATGCAGGAGAAATGCTGCGGTAACACGTGTTTATTATATCAGCTTGTACTGACTCTTGTTTAATTCCTTACAAGATAAAATGTGATTAATTTTCTATTTTACTATAATAATAAATTAGATTTTGGCACATTAAAATATTTTTACAACTTGTAACGTTTTAAATGTATTTTTTCTTCAGGGTATTCTTTTGGTGTATGATATTACCAACTGCCAGAGCTTTGAAAATTTAGAGGACTGGTATAATGTGGTTAAAAAAGTGACTGAAGAATCAGAAATGCAGCCACTTGTGGCCTTGGTTGGAAATAAAAGTAAGTCATTTATATTTAAATATTAATTGGAACACTCTGGATTTGCTCTCCAGTGAAGAAAAGTCACAAGGCATATGTCGTTAGTAAATTGAAACAAGTACTGGCTTGTGCAGTATTGCATACATATGACATATTTGGGTATACCTCAAGGTTCTGGGCAGTTAGGTTGAGGGACGTGTTGCAATCTCTTTGCCTGTGTTTTCTTTTCTTGGAGAGCAGCATGCAGGAGTGGAGAGATCTCTCATCCATGTTTGAATTTGATAAGGGCTTCAGAATATAATCAAGGCATACTTCTAGAATGGAGAACTGGGAAACATTCCTAGATCTGATAACAGGTATATTTCATGATTCTGTATATCAAGAAACTGGTAAATGAAGCACTGGTATCTGTTAAAGTAAGCATGCTGGGCATGATGTTTATAAGTCATTTATTAGACTTTTACATGCTATTTCTGATTTTGCACAAGGTTGCTTATTACCTTTTGTTCTTTAGGATTATTATTATTTTTAACTTTTTTTTGATCATGTAAGATATAATGCTCTTCTGCCTACCAAAGTATATGACTTTATGCAACCATCACCTACTTAATTCCCCAGTTAGATTCCAAATTCCTTAATTTCCAAGAAGAAATCTATAAACATCCTTATTGGCATGTATGAGGTATTGATTCACTCTCACTGTTGTTCTAATAAAGAAAAGAGCAACATAAAATAGTTGCAGAAACAAAGTGAAGCAGACTGGGGAAGGAGTTTTCAATTTAAGAAAACAGCTTAAGAAAACTGCTAAGGTAGCAGTGTACTTGCTACCTATTTCCCTTTCCATCAGAAGTTGTATATAAAGAAAGAAAGCAAACTGTTGCTTTCATGTGATCCTGAGGATGCTTCTTGTTGTTACATGCATTGAGCTCCTTGATGTCACTTGAAAGAAGGCATGTGGGAGATGCTTTTTGCAGAAGTCATTCCTTTGCTTTAATTTTATTTCAGTATGATAAAAAATTAAATTTTAGAAGTGCATTGCTTTTATGACACTGATAATAGGAGAAGAATGTCCAGGAAGGTTTTCACTTCAATACTTTAATTGACTGTGAGAGGTGGTTATTATCAGGCACTGGATGGGTACAGAAAGAGGATAAATATTACACAGAAGCATAATATTACAAAAGGATGAAGCTACCAGGGAAGTTTCACCAACCTCTGCCGTGAGCAGGAACACCATTTGCTAGCTCAGGTTGCCAAAAGTGAATCCAGTCTAGCTTTGAACGCTTCCAGGGATGGTATGTACAAATCTTGCCTCACCACTCTGAGTAAGGAGTTTATTCCAAATATCTAAATCCATGCTCTTTTAGATTAAAACCTTTGTCCTATCAGTATGCTCCCTGACATAGAATCCCTCTCCTGCTTTCCTATAGGCCCCTTGTAGGTACTGGAAAACCATAGTAAGGTCTCTTGGAGTCTTCTCATCTCCAGGCTAAATAACTGCAGCACTTTCAGCTTGATGGGAGAGGTGCCCCAGCCTTCTGATTATCTTTACAGCTTTCCTCTGGACTTGTTCTGTCAGGTCCATGCCCTTCTTATGTTACGGATTACAGACTTAGATGCAATCCAGGATATAGTTGGCCTTCTGGGATGCAAGATCTCACTGCTGACTCATGTTGAACTTGTCATCCACCACCACTTTCAGTCCATTCTCTGTCTAACCTGTGTTTGTGCTTGGAAGTGCCTTGATCTGGATGCAGAATCAGGCACTTGGCCTTGTTGAAATTCATGAGGTTCACCAAGGCCCACCTCTTGAGACATTAATGTCCCTATGGATGGCATCCCATCCCTCCAGTGTATTGAGCACACCACACGACTTCATGTCATCTGCACACCTGCTGAGAGTAAGCTCAATCCCACAATCCATTTTGCCAACAGAGATGCTAAACAGTGCCCCGAAGAAGCACTACTTATCACCAGTCTCCATCTGGATATCAAACTGTTGACTGCAACTCTTTGAGTGTGCCCATCTACCCAATTTCGTATCTGCTGAATGGTCCATTCCTCAAATGCATTTACCTCTAATTTCAGGACTCAGGTGTCCTGCAGAATGTGTCAAATGCTTTGAACAAGTCCAGAAAGCTGATGTCAGTTACTCTTCTGTTATCTGTCCCGTTGTAACCCAATTGTAGAAGGCCACCAAATTTGTCAGACGTTATTTGACCTTTTATTAGTTTCAGCTGGGTCAGAATTGTTTTCTTTAGAATGGTATGATGCTATGTTTTGGTTCTAGGAGAACAACAGTGTTGGTAACAAATTGATGTTTATAGTAGCTGCCATGAGCAGTGTTGTACAGAGCCAAGGCCATTGTCAGTAAAGTGCCCAAGGAGCAGACACCAGTCACATCCTTGTTTTCCACGTGCCTTAGCACAGTTTCCAGGAGGATCTGCTCTGTGACCTTCCTGGGCATGGAGTTAATCTGTCTTGCTTGCAGTTCCCTGGGTCTTCCTTTTTTTCTTTTTTTCCCCCTCTTTTTATGAATGGGGGTTATTACTGACACTTAAGTTTCTTTCTGATAAAAGGCTTTACTAAATTGAATGATTGAAAATAACTGCATGGTATTTGAAAGGTTGGGCCAGCATTTAGATACCTAGATAAAAAATCTGGAAGCCTGATTGAAACCATCCTTTTTGAAAGTGACCTAAATTAGTACTGCTCTTCTGAGCATATGTAGCTTGGGCTTAAGCTCTCATTTGCAACTTACCTATTTATCTCAGACAGTGTTTTTCCATTTTGAGGTGAACACACCTGGGATTTCTGGTGCAGTGCTTCAAGGGGAAAAAAAGAAAAAGAAATATAATTAGAGTTAAAAACAAACAAACAAAAACAGCTTGGAGAAAAAAAAAAAGAATTTTTTTTCCTTCATAGCGATGTACAGAAAATTGTTCACTAATTCTATCAGATGAAATAGTTTCCTTGGATAATCTTGTTACTGAAAGGAGGTTACTGAAGTATGGCAGTATATGCTGTATAATTGTGTACTAGCTATTAAACTGGCTATAAACCTTAATGATTTGTTTATTTTGTTACAGTAATTTGTAGTCGCTCTGTTAAGTTTGCTTGGAATTTCTTCAGTATTATGCCACAGAAAATGTTCAATTGTGATTTAAATGAATCAGTGCTAGATTTGACTTTTCCATTTTTATTATCCACTGCATTAGATTAAAAGAATGAGTACATTAAGCTGCTGTATGTCCATTGGAAGCATGATAATTAACCTCACTGACTGGAAAATCCTGCTGTGAGAGTAAGCAATTAAGATTTACTTATGGAACACCAGGAAGATAATTTCTACATGCAAAGCTCTATTTGGTCTTCAGTCTCTCATCCATCAGAACCTGATTTGAAAATCATAGAATAATGTGAATTGAGATCTGAATTCCAGATCTCCAAACCTCCTTATCTAGCCCTTGGTTTTGTTTTGTTTTTTTTTTTTTTCTTCCATGCTAGCTAAAATGAAGGACTGTCATTGCCCAATTCTGAAAATGAGCTTCAGAGATACAGTGAAAGCAGTTCTTTATTAAGGTGACTATCTTCCTCCTGGGTGCTTTTTTTGAATATGTATTTCACTTCTTCCCATTTTTTACATCAACAGTTTCTATCAGAGGGAGTAGAAAGCTAATTTCAGTCAGATCTTAGGAAAATTAAATCTTGCCAGTTCTGCTTCATGCAGCTGTGTCTGGTTGGCAGTTAATCCTCTGTCCTCTACTCCTCTATTTTGTGTATTTGGTAAATGACAAATAGATTTATAAAATTTAATGTCAAATTTCTTTTTTGTATTAATCGTAAATCATGAGATCATAATCCTGAAATTTACAATTGCTGTAGAATCTTAAATGTTACTTTCTTTGTAACTTTACTGTATTTTATTTTTATTTGATATAAAGTATATTAATCTGTTCGTATTTCTGTGTTGCTCTATTCCATTTAATTTGCACCAGAAATGAATGTCTGAGCCTCACTGTAAAGATTAATGAATGCTTTTGAGCTTCAATGCAGTAACTTTTAAGATATGCTTCTGTAAAATACTTTGATTTTATATTGTTTACTACATACTAATCTATGGTTATTAAGTGAATAAAGTGTATTTTTTGCACTCAAAAACTTTGTTTACAATTAGTATTAATTTGAAGTTCAGTAATTCACAATGGATCTTCTGATCATTAGTGTGAAGTAGAGAGGTTTCATGGTGTTATGTATGACTGATGCGTTTTTTTCCTGTCTACCTTGACTACTACTTTATGTATTTTCCTTTGCACTAATCTGTAAGCAGACTCCTCAAGTGTCCTACCAACGTTTTCAGTGGATATATTGTAAACAGAAATTAACCCAGGTTGCATGGGAGCTACACTCACTTTGATTTATAGTTACCTAGATGGTCTTAGGTTATCTGTAGCTTATGTAGGGGCTAGGAATTATCAGGTACCAGTGTATAGTGGATGGATGAATGATTTCTATCCCTAGAGATATTAACCAGATCCACTCCTCAATAAAGACTAATAACTCAGATTTTTAAACAGTCTTCATGACAGATGAGGGCACAGAGGAGAATGCATCAACACTAATTAAGAATGTTGTCCGTTTGTTCGTCTTAGCCATGATTAATTGATCTTGGAGTGATATCTCTGAACAGGAAGTGATATGTTATTACATTGTGAAGTTTAAAGGTTATGTTTTAGTGTACTCTTGAACTTGCATTTACATACAATGTAAAATCTTTTTACCTATCTTATCTGAATTCAGAAAGAAACACTCTTCAGCCCTGATACCTCTGAGTGTGTAGTACTCTGTGCTAATGAGAATGTGACTTGTAACAGGACATACCCAGTCTGGGTTTGGACTTGCTTACTGCCTCAGCCACTTGGTCTCCCCGTTTGTACTCAGGACACTTCTTCATTAATATTCTTTATGAAACTCTGGCATATTAAAGTTTAGAATTACACACTCACTCTTGTTCCTCCCAA